CAATGGCCGATTCTGTCTTCGATTGGCGTTCAGCTTGTTGCTGAGCCAAGTGACCTTCACAAGACTCTTCACTTAAACTCAAGAGCCCTTAAATCTGGCATCCTTCACAGAGCTATAGCCGTGCGTTCCTTGGCTCGTGGCCACTGCTACATCGCTTGTTCCGGTCTAGCCTCGGTTGTTGTCACCAGCTTTCAGTTCCATCTGATTGCACATCCCCCAAGACCACAACATGTGAGGTGAGACAAACCTAATATATATATATATATATTGTATTATATAGTAATACTATACAACACGCATAGAGAGAAAGAGAGAGAGATCCTGAAACGTCATTCGACCATCTCTGAACAATACTAGCAACAACGCCTCTCTCCTGAAAGTAGAAACTCGCAAAAGCACTTGCTTCTTCAGCCGTTCGCGATCTTCGAGTCTTGGTATGGGCGTCATGTTGGTGGACACAAACATCATCTCCGTGACGTGAATCCACAAATACCAAACTTGTTTTTACAGGTGAAGAAAGACGCAATCCAGATTTGCGCGTGCCATCTAACCGTGACTAACTCAAAAGAAGGACAACAGCGGCACAACAAAACATCAGCAAACACACATCTGAATGCTGGATGTTGATTCAAAGTTTGAGGATCATGTTTGATAGCCACTTCAAAGATACTCAAACACATGCCGCATCAACACATTGGCGGGCACCAGCTGCTTATGCCCACCAAGTTCTACGAGGTGCCAATGTGACCGCTACACAGCTGCCACAAAGCCTGCCGTGAAAATCTCACAGGTCCAAAGGTTGGTTCGCAGCGTCGAACTTGTAGGTAAAGAGCAGGACAACAGCCTCAGCTGGACAACACCTTGCACCACCTTCCTTTGACGGTGAAACTCAACATCGCAGCTGTGAAGCTCTACAGAAATGTCTTACGATTCTTACGTATAGCCAGGATTCCCCGACTCCCCGACCCCGAGACCCGGTCGAAGAAAAGAGGACACGTCCGAGACGCGGCGTCAGTCAGCCTGGTCGGCTGTGGCAGGTTTATTCGGGCTTAGATCATTCGCCTTCCTGGCCATTTCCGCAACTTGACGCAGACCATACACAGTACAAGTATCAGTCCCCACCCTGGTCGCGCCAGAAATACTTTCGACCCTCCTTCACAGGGCAAAAAGCAAATGAAAGCAATTTCAAAGACGATGTCAACAAGAAGTGACTGACTGCAATGCCCTGAAGAACTTTGGGCTGGGACAAGTAGAGAAAACCACAGACTAAACTGGCAAAAGGTAAGACTTACAAAGGCGTTCCACCGCCTCCTTCCAAATTCATCAATCATCTGGAACTTCAAAGTGGATGCGTTCGAGGTACTGGTCCCAGCCATAGAGTAGCAGCGCCGACATAAACGTAGTTGTACCATTCCCACTTCACCCTCCTGAGTGGTGCCAGATCCTACTTGCCCCATCTTCCAATCGCAAGCTCTGCAAACTCTGCACGTCACCGGAGGGTCAAGCCGACGTGTTGTCGAAATATGTCGAAATAGAACATCAAACACAAATCAATCGTCAATCCCCGTTGGGAAAAACTATGAAAAACTGGTTTGAGTGAGAATACCCCAAGTTACCCGCCCAAAAAAAACAAGGGAAACGAAATCAGACAGCAAGTGATCTGCTCTCTGCTCTTGTCACATTCCGCACATTTCAGACCTTAACCCTCCAAGTTCCGGCCCAACTGATGCAGAAGGAGCATCTGGACCACCAATGCTATGATGTACAGGATTCCCCCATAGATCGGCGCAATGCTAAACCTTGGTGTTTTCAACGAGATCCCTGACTGGCAACAGGATCGGGGCCCCGTCACATTCCCGTCAGCGTTCTCCATCGACGTGTTAACTCATCCTGCACTTGACGCTGGTTGCCAAAAAAAATCCAAAGTGCCATGGGTGCAGCGCTTCATCGAGAGAATCTGCAGCCCTTGCAACCTCCGGAACAGCTGAGGCTAGCAGCACGGCCTGTCATGGTCGGCATATCTTGCAGAAACACATGTTGCGATTGCAATCTCACAGGGTACCCCTCTGCATGTCTGGCTGCAGGTGGTGGGCTGTGAGGCATGAAATTGAAAGCATGCCCGGCTCCTGTGCTGCTGAGTGTTGGCGCTGATCCGCCGGCACATGGTTCCTAAAAGGGACCTGAAACATTGCAAGCTGGTGACATCAGCCAACTTCCGCACAAAATCACATCTGTTGCACTGGTCGGCTAGCTAAGTTTAAACGGTGAATTGCGCAACAGACTCGGAAGTTAAGTGGTAGGGGACTAGAGCGTCCGAAGATCAAAAGGACGAGCGCAATACATGGGCTGCATATCTCGCAAGTGGATGTCTAATCGCACCTAATACTCTGGCAATGGCAGCACGATAGAGCGAATGAAGGCCGTGAAAGAGAGAAGGCGCAGAATGCACACAAGGCACACCCGTAGTGTGTACACTGTACACATCACACTTGCCCCATCTAGTACCACAAGGAATCAGAACACTGCTGCAGGGATGGCAGCACAAAGCGGAGAAGCAAACAAACAAAACAATGTCACAAGCACTTCCAAGAAACAAAGCGGAAACAATGCGTTTCATGCGGGGTCCCAGTCATCTAGCAGTAACAGCACAACATGAGCCGCTGTCGCACCAATTGCACGCTCAAACAGCAGGACGATGTCCACTGAGCGCTGAGCGGCACGTTGCGGTGCTGCAACGAAAGCCCGGCTGCCAATCGCCAGCAGCACACACAGAAGGCACCAGCTCAAAGCACCTTCACAAAGAAAGCCAAGATCTCAAGTGAGGTTTAAAGAAGAAGTTATCAGTCAGGGATCGTCCAATTTCGGCAAACTCTGGTCTTTGTTTCTGTCTGTCGGCAGCTGGCGGTCTTTCTTTCGAAACAGCCCTCAGCATGTGCATGCCTTGACGTTGTCGACAGGGCCTGGTCAGGGGACTCGTGTGGACGGGTGCGGCTGTGGACTAGCGTCAGCAAACACCGAACACCGTATATAAGCCATATATAATATACCTTATGTGGATGAGATGGGAGCTGAGATCACATGTTCTGTGAATATGTTCCCACAACCGCTTTTTCCTCTGCCGCGGCTAATGCAATAAGAACTTATGAGAACTTGGCTCTGCTACCTCTGGTAAATTAATGTAAACCGCTGCTGAACTGCAGAGCAAGTCTAGCTCTGGTAGCACTCTTGCAACATCTTGCAAGCAAAGAACTGTCTACAGCCTGGCAGGAGCACATGTTTTTAACAGCCTGTCCCATAATCATGCCTCGCACGCTGTCTGACGACCATCTGGCCAGGATTGCCTGCACACGGCGCATGGTATCACCATAGATTCCATAGATATTGGTGCCAGGCTCAACATATGGACGTCGTCAAAAAAAGACCAAACGATCTGAGTCTGATGTACGCTGATGTGCCGGCACCCTCGGTGTCTTACTCAGTTTGCGCACCTCTCAGAGGCAAAATGAGAAGGCCCAGGCGCTAGCCGCTACACCCGGCAGCCAAAAATCGACGCGGCGATCGGCGCGAAGATCACACAATCACCCAAGCTGTACAGCAAGAATTGCTGTATTTACACATGGAATTGCCAACTTTGCCTGCATATCGTGCAATTTAGCCTTGAGTCTTGAGATGGGTGCGATCTTTGGACAACCGTGCTCGCCAACTCTAGACATGAAAACTGGGCGTTATTAGAGCATGGTTTGTTGCGTCCTGATTGGTTGTTGCCTCTTCAGACCCATCTGAAAAAGCCTGGTTCTGACCCGCACCTGACGACCTGCCCAACCAAGAGCCCAAACAAGATTGGGCGGGGACGACGGTCAGTAAAGCAAGTGGGGATTCGCCGTGATGCGCTGATGGTGTCTTCCAGGCTAGGTGGGCACGTATATAGTATGTATATATATATAACAAGAAAGGATCACCTGTTCCGCAGCCTTAGGCAACAGGTGATGGAGCAAAATGTAAACTGCAAGTGTTGGGTCAAACTTCAGCGAATTTTTGTGTAAACAACATCGCGAGGCGCTTCTGGTTGGCCAACACTTTTCCGTGTGTGTGTGTGTATGTCACAAGTATGTTGAATAGCTGTGCTGGTCTTCTTGTTCCAATCAAATTCAGCTACCGCACACCGCACACTGCTTATACTTTTGTAACATTACAGTATGTGTAGTCAGTTTTCGGATCGGCTTGCGTGACTCTTGTTGCATAGAGATTGCATTTGGGCCCAATATGTACTCAGGCCATACTTCGTCAGGATAATAGGATCATTTGGGTTGGAATGAATCGCTGACTTTGAGGGAGGCTAATCTCGTGGTAACACTCGCCGAGCCGGACTGAGTTCTGCTTGTATTTCTTGGCCAACGTTGGTGCTATCTCCTTTTTTTGAGCCTGCTCCCCTAGCCCAATCGATGACAACATATGACAACTAAGCGCACAGCGATTCTTTGGCGACAGCTACAGCACCCGAAAGATCAGCCTGAGTGCACATGAGTAGCACATTGTGTGCGTTCAGCATTCGAGTTGTCAAGGCATGTGAAGGCCAAAAGCAGCTGCATAAAAGGCCAACCCCCTTTGTCTGACAACGTTCTACCCATCTGTCTCGCCCGGGTGCACCATGGTGCACCGCGCGTCATCTGGGTGCAACACGAAGACACGGCGGCCGGCCCTCGCGGCTGCTCGATTAGGGCACTGCGAGGCCTAAGGAACTCGGTGCACATCGCATCTTGTCACGGTACCTTGCAAAACAAAGAAGTCCCTGAGCAGCCACAACGGCCTGAATTCACGTGACTTTCAAGGAGCAGTTCCAAGGAATGTAAGGGTCCCGGCGTGCGGTGTGGACCTGCAGGTGCTACATATGCATTCAGTTTGTTGAAGATTCTTGCTTCAGTTCAACTAGCACTGGTCATGGCAGCATGCAAGCACAAGCACCCGTCTGTCTCTCCGGCAAGCAGCTTTCCGCTTTGTTTTCATGTCTTTTTGCGAAGCGTCTCAAACCCCAGCTTCTGCAACAAACGCTTGGCGTACCTGGGGGACAGCACATTCAACATCATAAGGCATAACTACATTCTTCCAGAAACTGCCCCCACATCTGCAAGAATGCACGGGAACGTAAGGCTGAGCCACTTGTGCACCATATCCTCGCAGCTGCAAATATTCACCAAGAAGTGGCATACCTCCACCACCTGACAGCTGCATGTTTCCAAACCCATGACTACATGACCCAGTCACATGAAGGGCTCAGCGGAGAGAAGCTTCCACTAATTCAAGTATGTAAAGACTAGCCAATTACAGCTAGTGAGAAATCGTGGATGTGTCGCTGCAATGAAGTAAGGCCAAAATAAGTGTGATGAGGTGAGGTGATAAAAGGCAGGAAACCCATGGAAACCCCTCAATAAGCAGTCAGGAAACCGACAAAGGAAACTCGAATGGAAGAATCCAAAATGCTGGAAGGTCCCGAACTTGGAAGTACAATCCAAAGCCGTGAGTGAGGAAAACCAAGTGGGAAACTTTTGAGCTGGAGGGACGCAGGGCCCCAGAAAGTTTGACAGTTTGAAACTATAAGTCAAAAGAGAGGGGTAGTGAGTCAGGAAACCTGGACACGACCGGAAACAGGTCAGGAAATTTGGGCTGTTTCGAAAATAGACTAATAGTTAAAATGTTGACTTATTTTTCAAAATAGACTAATAGTCAGGATTCTGTCTAACCTCATCGTAGAGGTAGCGTCCTTGCTCCTAGCAGCGATGCCAGGAGCCCCTAGTAGCTTCTTGTTCCTAAAGAAGCGTAACCCGCAAGGTGGGTACCCTGACCCTGGATTGGACGAGCCGGCTCCCATTTTCTCCCGCTGGGTGGGACTTGGTGAATGAGGTGAGATCGTGTTGAGCCGGTATTCGAGGCAAATGCTCAACGTACCATTCATGCAATGTAGGGCGCCCTCGAACATGAAGAGCGCAAGCGCAAGGAACACTCTCAAAATCCATTCGTGGAATAAACGTCCCAAGACCCGATGGATGAAAACATGAAACAACTCCCCTGTCCGTGAGTGACTTGGGCACGAGTCCCGCCTTTGTGGCTCGTAGCTCTGAGCGACACTCTGAATGGACGGCTAGATTTCCAAGAGAGAAAAGGGCGATCTTCACCTCGCTTGAGACACTCCTAGTAGCAAGTGCATCGCTACTAGTAACAAGCTAGTAGCAAGAAACTACTAGTAGCTAAGTGCATTACTACAATGCTCTTTCGCTCTCCAAACAACGATGCCGCACTTAGCTGTTACATGCGACGAGCCACAGAAGAATCTGCCGCAAGTTTCGCTAAGCTCACCGGGTCCGGCGTCTGTGGGCAGCGCGCCCTCACGATGCCGCACAGACCTGCGCAATGGCGGCATTCCGAGATTCACCGTGTTGGCTGCGCGGAACGTGCGTGCCTTCCAATGCCCCCTCGCGAATGATCACTGGGCAAAGCAAGTCAGAGTTCCTGAGCTCAACCGCTCAAACTTGCACTTCAAGGAGCAGTATAATATAGTATGAAGAGTGGAGCGCTTCAAACTGGCTAAAACGGTCCAAAACATGTCAAGGCTCCGCACCAAGTTCCCAATCCTTGGCGTTTTGAAGCTTTGAAGCTGGCCCGAGGCAGCAATCAAATGACATGCATTGACCCACATGCAACATGAATGGAAAATGCAAATGTTTTCTCCTCAGCCAAGGCAAAACTGAGGATAGCTCGCTCCTGCGGCGTTGGCGCGTGTCTTCTCTTCAGGGTCTCGCAGAAGATAGAGCAACTGCGGCAGTGCAGGGGCCAATTCTTCGTAGAGCTCGTCTGAGTGGAAGGCAAAATTACCTGAGCCACTCGCGCTGGTGAGCGGGCGCTGCGCGGCAAGGCGTCCAACCTCTCAGAACGGGACCCACCGCAAAGGAGGCCAGCTTTCGACAGGCATCATCGCTGTCACTGCACAGCCGCACGAGCTGCTTGATGATGCCGGCCTCCCAGAAAAGACATCAAAAGACCGTTGTGGATGCTTTGCGCAAACAGGTGCGCCAATAATCAGGCTGCGAGCGGTGGCCAAGTTGCACATGACTCATACGACTTGTGACACATTCAAACCTCTACACGCTTAAGTCTCAAAGTCCTTAACCATCTTAGCACCTGACGATGGTTCATTGACGGCATTATTTTCTTGCATAAATAAAGTCGCATAACACAAAATATCATTTTCCAGCTAAGCTAGGCACCTGCTTCATGGTTTTGTAGAACAAATCCGAATGACGCACCATGTTGCCCACTGCCTCAGCACTCGGATGGGCGTATTGCCAAAGCTTAAGCAAAGCACCACAATGGTCCGGCCAAGGAACTGGAGAAATGAAAAAGAAACGAGGAAATACAGTAACAGTAATAGGACTAGTAATAGGTGTATAATGGTGTATACATAGACATAGTATCAACGTGAATCACAAAATCAGCAAACGCATCCTGTCTCTTCATTGCCATCTACCTGGTAGTAGACTGGGACTAGGAACCCTACAAGAACAGAAGCCGAAAAGAAAAAACTGCACCAGATTCTGAACCTGCATCCTTCGATTTTATATGGGGGCACTGCAGACTGGCAGACTGGCAGATGACTGGTACAAAGGTGAAATGCAGCCATCCGCCAACAAGGCAGATGTTGAGCCGCTGGGCCCGACAAGCTGAGCGTGGGTAAGAAAGGTCGGGAGACTGGGCGTGGCTAGCCATGCAGGCACATCCCCACAGCGGATGTAAAGAAGAGTCTGGGACTGGCCAAGAAAAACTCAAATACATCCAGCGCCGTCGGTCGATCTTCCATCGTTCTGAAGAGTGTCTAGTCTATCTCAGGCTTTCCTTACCTCCTCATGCACGTGCAATGTATAAACCTTTTGCATCCTTTTGCCCTACACCTTGGACACGTCGCTCGTTGTGTTGCAGCTGAGAGGCATTGCAGGCTTTGGCTCGGATGGCTGGATTCCCACATGAGAGTAGTTCTCGTAGGGCAGGACACATATCCATGCTAAACAAAAGCGGGTAGTAGTCAGCAGACCTCAGAACAAAATGCAACTGGCTTCCCTGCACCGTGTTCATCGCACCTGGCCACTTGCTTTCTTTTCAGCAGCCAGGCTACAAACGCGCCAGTTGAGATAAGATCACCAGAACGTGGGTCACAACCTTGCACATGAATGCACCCTATATATAAAAACTCTAAACAAGAATGCAAAAACAAAAGTCATCTCCCCCACGGTCTTCCACCAACTTGTTTGGCAAGAAACGGCTGCACCCTTTTCAGAGAAAACTAGGTCGGAGGAAAGAAGTTTCCTGCTCCTCAGCACCTGCACGCCTGGCAAAACATGTACAAGCATTTTCTGTCTCAAGATACACTGTGAAAAAGGCATACTGTGTACAAGTGATGCGTATGCACCTTCATGCTTCACAAATTCCTTTGCCAGTGAAGGGTGTTCAAGCACCATGACAGTAAGGAGGTGCAGTGCAGTGCATAAGCATGGCGAAGTTCGACTGCCTGCAAGCATGCAATGTCAATTTTGGACGACGATAATTTTGGAGAACTGTTTGAATCTTGGTCTAGATGTGTTTGTTTGAATCGGCGCCTTGGCCTTGCTCAAACGACGTCTCCAACAGTCTCCTTAACAAGGCACATTAAGAAAAGCGCCTTCTTCAAGCAAACCTTCGAGAGAAACGAACACCGTGGACAGAAAAGGCATCGCATGGGGACGTAGCCAAGCAGCACTAAAGTAGCCACAGTGCGGTACCGTTGAAACTGCTGAGGTATTTCCGACTTGCCCCGCTCCACCAGCTGCAGGAGGTGAATGATGGGAGAGAGTGCCGCCTGGTGCGCGGAGGCGCTGTGCGGAGTCAGCGCAACAGAAAACCAGAAATTTCGACCTCAAAGGCCACCGCCATTTCGGGCATATCAGGGATCTCTTCCAAAGGCAGCTTGCTCAAGCACCTAGAGTGATTCATCAAATGTTGAGCATCCCTTTCTGCACTCTGTTCTGCAGACACATCAGGCCCACCCCCATCTTGCAAGCATTCTAAGCCACTGCAAGGCTGATAAGATGGACAATGCACATTTCAATGTGGCGATTGAAGGTTCCAGAAAGTCCTGACAAGTTGACACAGCAAGATCTTTGGAAGATCTAAACCGTGAATCTGGGAAAACAGCAACACCGCCTGCGATGCCACGAACATGTCTAAGAACCTCAGCAATGCTCCGGGGCCCATTATGGCCAAGCAATTCTCAGGCTCTGCAAGCACGGCGTGAACGACCAACCTTGGAGTGGTTCTGCGGCTCTTGCTGAAACGCTGTGTGGCACAATTCCGACATGATGTGTCACCAATGAACATCCAGGAAGAATTATGCAGGCCAAGATGCTGCACATATTGTGCCGAGCCTGGTGCCAATGACTGTTGAAGTGACGCCACAGCGATGACACCATCCAACGGGCCACGGACCAAATAGCCATTTGGAGCACCCTGAATGCTGTGAACCATCAGTGCGCCAATCAAATTTGGCGAAGAAGTGGGCATGCATGCTACTTCTTCTTATGCATGGCTTACAAAAATTAACAATGTGCATAATAATGATAACAATAAAAACAACAATAAAATCACAATAACTTTAACTATATAGTTTTCCTTGCTCTGACCGACCTCTGTTCGCTGGATCTCGTCCATCAGCTGCTGGGCCATAGGTCTTGCTGTTTCGAGAAGCACCGTGAACGTCTCCCAGACTCCACTCATCGCCTCGCACATCTGGCCATGGGTCTCCTAGCGGAGACGATGCGGGCGACTCGGCGAGCCGCCACAGTGGAGGAGCACTCATCTTGATGGAGAAACGCCGGACCCGAGTTTTCTTAAGCAATGATGGTCCTTGCTTGACATCAAGCTGAAGCCCATGGATGCAATCAGCTCCAGCGCATAGCCTGGGCAAAATCCGTCTGCAAAAACCTGCTTCGGTATCATCGATTGATCTAGCTGGTTCAGATTATGTACATTCTTCGTCCTCTCTTCTGACTATCTTCACGGCAGCATAGCAACGAGATGCAACGAGCTGTCGGTTCCTATCAGGAATGCAGCTGGGCAGCAGCGGCAAAGCAAAGAGATCACATCTGGTTGGCACGTGCCAGGAGCAAATGGAAGGCAAGAAATGATTGCTTGCATCGTCGTAAGGTTGCACCACGGAGGTACTGGAGATGTGGTAAGGTGTCCATTGACACTGGGCTTGTCCCCACCTGAAAAATCACCGAGGCTCGGCGGGAACTGAGCGAAATCAAATCTTACAAAATCAAAGTCCCAGTGATTGCTGTCACTCAATCGAGTAAGTCAAGGCACCAAAAGGCCTTAGACAATGAATGTGCACTGAGAGCAGCATCCCCACCGTGGGCCACAGGACCTTGTGCTCGTGCCTGCAGATGGCCTGGCTTTCTATCGTTTTTTCATGAGCTTCGATTGCTACGTCAAAATCACGACTACCCAGGGAACCTCGATGGCTGTCAGGACGCTGCCATTGGTGAAGCCACTGCCAATGCTATCTGTGAGGTTTGGGGCAAGTTGTCGGCACCTGAGTCACGTTAAACAATGGTGATAATATGTGATAATGTACTCTGGGCCTGGCACCACCCACCAACAGTCACATACAGCCAACCATGCAAATGCTATATGTACAATGTTAGTCAATGTTATAATCATAGCAGAATGATGACAAACGGCTGCCTCACAAAACACTTGACATACTGCCGGGGCACATCTCATGTGAAACACTGAGAAGGCTAATGAGGAGCTTCAAGGCTGACGTGTCCAAGCGATCCCCCGCATGTCGGAGGTCCCAAAGCACAGCAGCAATTTCTCCGGTGGATTTTCCCAAACTTCGTCGCAAGGCAAGATGGATGACCTCGAGCGCTCCTCGAATCGATATACGACGTGTTGAGGCATTGTGACTCCAGGGGACATTGCCTTGTCCAAATGGCGGATGCACTAAAGCCGCCAGAGCTTGCAAGATCGCTCGGGTCATCTTCTCAGAATCCTGGACTGAGAGGGTGGGGAACGATGATGCCTTGAACACTTTGGGATGCGATCGCAAGCACAAGCACAAGACGGCGACGGCCTCTGCAGCTCTTCTGCTAGCTTTGTTGCGCTCCACTATCATGGTGTTTTGATCTAGACCTCGAAAGAGCTCTGTCACGAAGGCGGAGTCTGGCGATGCCAATGTTGCAGTCGACAAATGCGAGAAAACAACCCCTAAGCACTTCACTGAATTGATGCTGACACCCATCTGTTGTGTGCACCACTGATCTGGGGACACATGGGGCTCCTTCGAGTGCAGAATCAGAGATGGTGCAATCTCCAGAAACTGGAGCAGGATTCCATCCGCACAAAGCAACTCATTGCAGAGCTTTGTCATCCCCATGGTCAGCAAGGATCTCAACCAAAGGCCCAAGAGCCGTGTAAGATCAGAGAGGACATCCCATGCTGGACCCCAACTCCGGGCATCGGATGCCAAGGATTTCATTAATCTCAAAAGTTGTGCACCTATCCTTGACACCAACAGGCGCGAGAACACAGCGGACGGAGAAGCTTGGCTGAAGATGTGCACTAAGCCCCGCAGCAGGGAAGAAAGTGGAAGAGACAAGGCCGACTCCTTGTGTTTTCCTTTTGCTTCTCGTCCTTTCCCGGCATCCCTTTTCTCGCCTTCCAAGCAGAGCTCCAACCCTTGCCGCTCGACTTTGGGATGCTCTTTGCTCAAAAGCCGGCTCTCCAAGACGTCTGAATAAAGCTCCAAAGCTTTCACACAAAGGTCCGCAAAGTCTTCATTCAAAGGCTCGCTGCTGTGACCATATTGCTCGCCCCGCGGCACAGCTGAGGCGGAAGCCTCCGTAAAAAAGTCCAGCCACGGTTCCATAGCTTTCCACGGGCACACAGGCTGGTCGGGCAGCGTTTCAAGAGTTTTAATCCCCTTGGTGCCAGTTGCAGCTGCAGACCGCAAGCTCGATACCTTGTGGCCCTTGGGATCTGGGCACGCAGAGTTTGCGGTCACACGAGGCTCCTCTCTGACAAACGGATGATCAAGCAAATGAGGCCATGTGAGGCGACATTTGGGATCTTTCTGCAGCAAGCCTTTCAGGAATGACCGAAAGGTTGAGGAGATTTTGTCTGGGTAGTGCACTGGCTTCTGTATAATTAGTTGAACCAGAGAAATCAAGGAGTTGGTGTAGAATGGTGGCTCGCCAACAAACAGCTCGTAGCAAATCACTCCCAAAGACCACAGATCGACACCACTGTCATAAGGTTTCTCCTGAACCAATTCAGGCGCCATGTACAAAGGAGTTCCCTTGATGGAGGTGAGCACCGTCGTTTCTGTTGACAAAGCGCGTGCAAAGCCGAAATCGCACAGCTTGACGGTGCCATTGGAACTCACGAGGACATTTTGAGGCTTCATATCCCGGTGAATCACTTGTTGCGAATGAAGGTAATTCAATGCTCTCACGAGCTGTCGAGCGATGTTGCTGACCTGTGCTTCGGGCAAGTGCTTATCATCCTGGAAGATCTCAAAGAGCTCGCCGTATGCGAATTGCGTCACGACAACAAAGTCATTCTCGGTCTCGAACCAATCCAAGAGAAGGATGATGTTCTCATGATCCAACCTTTGCAGAATTCCGATCTCATGCCGCAGGTTCTCCTGGTCCTTCTCCAGCTTCCCACGCTTGGAAATGAACTTCATGGCAACAATCTTCCCGGTCTGCTTTCGACGTCCCTTAAAGACTTTGCCAAAGCAGCCTTGCCCTATCATTTGCAGCACATGGTATTTCTCCATTTCTCTGCTCAAACTTCGCTGTCCGCGGACAGGCTCGATGAGCTGGCAGACATGGCGCAACACCCCAACGCCATGCTGACGGTTTCTTCAAAAAACTACATGATATAATGCTGCATGCATGCCCAAACGGTTGCATCGTCTCATTGGCTCGTCAAATTCTAGGAGGTGCTAAATCCATCTAAATCCAAGTTGTCTGAGCGATGTTCCGATCTACTTGGCCCCTTGTACTGTGCACAGCTGGAGAAAAAAAAAGGGGAACAGCGGCCAATGCAAGCGTGACAAATGCATGCGTGATCCTTTTGGTTTCCCTCAATCGAACGGGCATCGGTCGTATCGTTCAGCTCGGTGGTCAGCCCCCAGGTCCATCCGGGCCCCCGCCTGCGGCCTGGCCCACCTACCAGCAATCGCATTTGGGATCATTTGCTTTTTGGACTGAAAATGTGCTCACATAGGAATCTCACCAAGCAAACTTGTGCCTCTGAAAAGTGCTTCTGGCATCTTTGGCCACACTTTTCCATCTTCGAACCAAGACAGCTGCGGGACGAACCAAGTTCGCCAAAAGTCCTTTCAGGCATTCTCTGTCTGTGCCATAGGAGACGGAAAAGGGAATTACACTCTGACTCACTAACATGGAAGTGGAAAATTGTCCTTTGGAAGACTACTTTCCTTATCTTTCCTTTACAAACCAGGGGTTTTCCACTTCCATGTTAGTGAGTCGGAGTGTAAACATATAAACTCAAACTGCAAGACAAGAGCCTGTGAAATGAGTCCTGAATTTGGAGAAAAAACAGCACCGCTGAAACCAAGACTGTGCTCAAAACTCCAGCTGCGCTCCTCAACGCAAAGGTGTGTTTTGTGATTTAGGCGAAGGTCACTTTGCCAGCTGCTATGTCAATGCCCATTCCTGACTCAAGCTTTGGATGTGTGGCACAGGCCAGCTGTCCCGTTTGGAATTCCAATTTCAGTATGCAATGATGCAACCCAAACTTGCCACCAAGCCTCGTAGCCCTGCGAAAAATCCCAAACCAACAAAAATAACGCTTGGACGTTCAATTCTTAGGTTCTCTTCTTGCATCTCCCGCAGCTCTGCCCTCAGAAAGACGCTGCCAGCATCCTCAGCTAAAGGAGTGACGATATCAAGAGCCGCATCCAAGTCAGGAATGCGTCCTCGGCGCAACTGCAGCGATACACTCGGCCCACTACTTCCTGGAAGTGGTGGAAATCGAACTTCTACGTTGCCAGCACGCTTGATGCCAACCTCCTGAGCACTGGCTCGCCGAACCGCGTCAAATGAGAAGAAGAGTGATTTGGGCAACACAAGGCCGGTTGTCCCAGTATCCAGAATTGCCACTGTCTTGGCCTCAAGAATGTTGACATGATCAACCAACAATTCTTCAACCACGACCGCATAGTACTGCACGCCAGCACCGAAGTCTCTCAAGTCAGTAAGCATCGTTTCAGCCCGTTCACCCTCCCATGGTGAGAGTTTCTCCGCCAGCTCTAGCACGGGATTCGACATGTTCCTGAAATCAAAGACCAGGGTGGTGTAAGGTGTTTGACTGAGGAAGGTGGGTCGAATCTCTGAATCCTCGGCAGCCAACTTGATGAGGCCGAAATTGGGGCCACCGGCGTTGCCGCCAAAACTCTGTGTTTCACCAAGCACGCCCAAGGTCCGATGGCTCAACACACACCCACCCAGCTGTACATCTCCCTGACGCCACACCGCCGTGGCATAGCCACCAGCAAAACTTATGATATTGTCTGCCAAGCCAGCTGATCTTCCAACGTCCCGTTGGCTGCACCCATAGCGAGAGCAATAGTCCTCAGTGACTACGTGTGCAAATCCCCCGCATTCTGGTAATCACTACATTGGATCTGCATTGTGGGGGGTCTAGTCGCTTCTTGCTACTAGTAGTAGTAATGGCCTCCAACCTGCTAGCGATGGCCTCCAACCTAGTAGCGATGGCCTCCAACCTAATAGCTTCTTGCTACTACTATTCGGATGGCGAAAACAAACTGTTCAAAAATACATGACTCTCCAGCTAGGAAACTGAGCAACGACCCGCCGCTCGACGAGCACCTACACAAGCTGCCACCAGTAGAAAAGGACTGCCGGTATCTGCGACGCCACGGAAGGTTGAGCCTTGCACCTGGATGCTTTGAGGAATGTCACTTCACTGCTCACTGTCACTTCGGTAAAGGAATTGCGGATAACTACGGATGATAACGGTAACTGTTTCGTGTTTGTCTTTGTTTCTTCTCTTTTGAGTCAGGACCTTGAGACGTTCTTTCTTTCTTCCTGTCCTTCCTTCATTATTATACCGGGGACATGGGCAAGCTTGGTTGTCAAAATGGTACGGACGTATACCCGGCAATCCTAACGGCTTGCCATTGCCACATCCATGCAGTGCGTGCAGCGGCCTGAAATGTGAGAAGGAAGGCTCCTCTCTCAAACTCAAGCGGCAGGATCAAAGGGTCAGATGCACTCGCTGCAGGCAGGCCCATGAGATTGGCCTTACCACACATTGCTTACCTGTTGGAACAGCCAAATGCTTCAACAAATGCTTCAAAGCCTTCAAATACACGTACATACATAGTATAAGATCATATAAAAGACATCGGGGGCAACACACATGTGGCTGAGTGCTTGCTAAGCAGCGAAGAGGGAAGACCCGAAAACACACGTGGCTCGCCTCTGGCAATTCGGATTCTTCACCGGTCTCAGCACCGCCTCTGGGCGCCCGGAGTCTTGACAACGCTGTTCCGCCAAACGAGAAAACATTCACCAAACAATTCGTGCCCAGACCTGGTTCTCGGTCCCTTTCTTGCATGGAAGGGAAAAACTTCGGTCCGGAAGCCCTGCCAGGCACCAGCTGTACAACCTCAGGCCAGCAAGCTTCTGGAACTGTTGTGGACTTGGGGGCCCACAACAGTAAAGGGCTGTGCAAGCTTCTGAGCCAACAAGTGACAGTGTTGCCAAAAGAAGGTCACCTCTTCGGCCCATAGCTTCGGCTTGAGCAGCATGCTGCAGGTACGGGTGGAGGCCATCGCTACCAGTAACAAGAAGCTTCTCCCCATTCTCCATGTGCCGTAGTTGCCCCAGGATGAGGAAGTGCAAAAATAGTGAGTTAACGTGCTTCGCAAGTGCGACCCTGAAAGCTAACCACATCGACAGTCTTCGCAGTTATATAATCCCGGCAATTATATAGTTCCTTTCACATTGGATAATGTTCTGCTTTGTCCCATGCTGACTTTTGGGATAGTGGCAGATGCTGTTTTGCTTGTGTGATACTTTGATTGAATCTTCTGATATGTTCCAATCGCTGCATCTGTCACAGGCTTTGTAGCTCAATCAGCTTGTGACCTGCAGCGGACATAAAGCTGCTAGTCTAGCGCCCCATTGATTGGGAGGTTCGAGACTGACTTGCTCTCGTGCTTCCAGGAGTTCTACAGTTCTACGTGCTCGTGTTTGCTTGTTGTGTTCCTTTTACTTTGAACCGAGCATGCAGCGCCCGATTGAGTGCCTTTAGCAAATTCTATCGGAATCAGACCTTTTGTGCCGCACGCCTACAACATCCACTTCTCACCACGGCACGATCTACATCCTAGAAAAATCTAGGCAAGTACGTTTAAGGACCACAAGTCAGTCCTTCTGCTGATGTTGCTGACATGATGTACAGGTCATGCAAATATCCAAGGAAGCCTCTACTAGCACCATCAGCTGGCGCAAGTCAGTGAGACGCGGGTTTGCGCGGGCATGCCATGCTTGCGGGTTTGCGTGTTGACGCAGGTTTGCGCGGATTGCGCCACGCTTGTTCACTGTTCAATGTCCTGAAAGCAAAACTAGGTCACGTTAGAACTTGATCCAAGCACTGGAACGTGAGCAAGGCCGAACCTGGCATTTTCCTACAATCAACACCTTCCTGAATAGTTGCACTTCTGCTTGAAAACCTTAGCCAAAGTTGAGCGAGTTGTATAGGTCAGTCAGTCTGAGTAAACTGCCCTCAAGTCTTGCACAGCTCTTACAAGTGTCTTCATCACTCAAGACTTGCGCAACTCAAGGACGACTTCCTGCATCTTTCCTCAGCTGCTCGTAGTTCCTCTCTTCCTCACGCTTATGCGTGTGGATTCTTTTGTGTTGTGCCAGCCAAGAATTCGGACACGTTGGATTCGAACTCAACAACTGCAGCCACAGCATGGTACACGGTGTAGCCGTGCTCAAGATTCAGAACAGCTGCCTGAAGTTGGCAGCCAGACCCACCGGATGGCACAACTGGGTTTCCGTCTTCGAGCGGTCTTTACAAGAAAGGCAGACCAGCAACTGCCTGCTTTCACAGTTTCACACAGTTTCACCAAACTTGAGGGGGGAAACACGAAAGGTAGAGACGGACCGAGTAGCTGTCGGGACCTT